GAGTTGTGATGATAAAAAAATTTAAATCATTGCTTTGATTTCTACAACGAATTAAGAGTCTACAATGTTATCCATCACAATGCATTGCTTCCTATTATACAGTGTGATTTATAAATTCTAAAAGTTGCTTATGGCATGTTATCCAGACTTTGGAACTATTTCTTTTTCTTTTCTTTCTCTTGCTTCAGATGTTCATCAAGTACATAAAGGTTAGCAACCTTCTCTTTTGGAATATTAAATAACAGGGCATGGTATATTAATGCATTACAAAAAAGGCAAAATTTTACAAGTGCTTATGGGGAAATGAGGACTTTATTTTAGAAATGCTGTTATGAAAAACTGAGTATACTATTCATCTCACATCCATTTTGCTGGCTTCCCATTTCATGTGCTTTTTTGTTTTCTAGGTGGAGTTGGTATCACATTTTGGATCAGAGCACTTGTCCATTAAGCCTTATAAGGTAGTAAAGAACAAAGTACACTTACTGTTTTTTTTTAAATAATACAAAACTTTTGAATATATTTAAAGTGAAGAAATAATTTTCTCTCATGTGAAGTTAATACTGTAGAAATACAAGCTATTAAACTTTTCTTGAATGTGTTTTAGAAAAATGTCAAAATAGCCTCTAAGAAATAAACTTATGTATTTGATTTAGCTTACTTGCTATTTTTCTAAAGTTGTAATGTGTGAAAACACTTTCGATTGATAGAAAAATTTGACATTATATTTCAAAATGCCTTAAACAGGTTAGCTTTATATTGTAATAGAAGCAGTTGATGACTAAAATGTAAGAAACAGCTATTATTTTGCAGTCCAAAACCTGTGTAGCCCTTAAAAGCATTACCAGAGTTAATGTTCATCAGTATTGGTAAGTGATGAGTCTTAATAACTCTGTTTTGTTTTAATGAGAATCTTTAATAAAATTGTTTTTATTAGGGTATTTGGTACCAGCATGGTAGAGGAATATAAGAAATTGCTGATTCTCAGTATCAATCAGAGCGTCAAGAACTATTTGATGAAGATTATGGTAAGTGATTTTAAATAGTTGACTTTTAAGAGAGATTTTCTTTTTGCTTTTTATAATTTTAAGTAATGGTAAATATGGGTGGTTACTTAAATCGATGACTTGTCACTTTAGTTTAATGTTTTTATTTTGCCCTACTAAACCAAATTTTTCTTAAACTTGTCTTCTGGTATGATTGCATTGTAAATTGTGTTATGGTCCAACTTTATCAGTTATTTGCAGCTTGAACTTCCTTCCATAACATCAGTGTTATAAATTATGATTGTATCTCTATGCAAGAACCTGTTAAACTCATAACTTGAAATAGTAGTAATGAGCATTAATACCTTCGTTCGTCCTGAGCCAAATTAATGTGCAAGCACATTAATAAGACCTGGCCTTTGAGAAACTCCTATGGGCCTAAAAGGGTAGAAGAAAGTTTTATGATCCCCTTCATTTCTGTTTTATCAAATCCTTATTTTAAGATGCCTTAAAGCATACCTTCAACATCTAAATCTTGTCATTTTTCCATAAAAGATATGAAGACATTGACAAAGGGTTGGTAAAGTATATTGAAAACTTAAATGAAAGTCTTAAAGATGTGATTAAAATTTTGATAAGCCCTCTTTGTTTAATAAACATCTGTTTGTTAAATGGCTTCTGAATCTCATTTTCTTTTTGTGAACATTTTTAGATATATAATTAATATTAGTACAGTGTTTTCAATGTCAGTTAACTTTGATAGAATATAATATTACTTCATTTTTTCTTTAAACAGATTATCCACTGGATTATAATACTGTAGAAGATAAATCTTCAAAAATCTTCTTGGTTCTGCTACAAGTGAGTATTTTGGTTTCCTATTCCAACTATGAAAATGTTTTTCTCTTTTTTTGTTCATTCAGATGCAGATCATTTAGTTCTGGTAGAGATTAAACTGCTTCTGCCCCCTAGTCTTGAACTTTTGTGTTGAAATCAAAGATAATAGCTTTGAAAGATATTTTTAGAAATGAAATAGGAAGCCTAGATGAAAAGAAAAAGGAGAGAGAAAAATGTAAGCATAATAAAGCTGTTCTTCTACTCTAATTAATCACTCATATCTTGAGGAAATTCTTGTAAGAAAGGGCTGTGGTTTGTGAAAATAATTACTAAAGAGATAGTGCATTAGTAAAAGACGTAGTAATAAGGATTTGTAAGTCCATGGATATGGTAAGTTTCCTATTTAATTACAAAATAGTAAAGCTGTTTCTGTGCTTACTAAGTACCAATAACAGTTAACAGTAATATAGTATGTGGTTTGTAAGAAATGACTTCAGATATCTAGTAGTTTAGTTTGTTGTCCTTCCAAAATAATGTATGAACCTTTCAGGTTCTACTGGAAAAAACTTTACATAACTACACATTATTTCTACTGTTAGAACATGGGTTTGATATATATTAATACTATTTTTGGTTATTCTTGAAGAATATAACACTAACTGAAAGGAATTTTCTCTTTATTTGAAGATTAATAACTGGAGCTAATTTAAAAAATCTTAGTAAAATAAAAGACTAACTAGTTGTAGTTTTTACTTGTTAGTAAGTTGAATGGCTCGAAGTCAATCTCAGTGTGAACATTGACTTTATAAGTTTTTTAGAGTTCAACCAGTAGTACATATAGTTGGGTAGATAGTTTATGTAGCTATAGAGTTAAGAGTCACTTCTCTTTTCATCTTTCCTTGTTACCTTTTCAGTCTATTCCTTTTCTTCTCCATAGAGGATTGTAGACTTCAGTGGAATTTTCTAGGAATGTTTAAAAAGTACCTGCAGAAAGAAAATATTTTTATATGACATCAACTTTGTTTCATATCCGTTCAGTATACTTTGGTTTACATTTACTGCTTGACCTTCTGACTTTTAGATCTTAGCAAATACATTTAAATAAGTTTACTTGCTATCTAGTTGATGATAGAAAACTAGGTGTATTTATTTTAGGAGTTAAAAGATATGTTTGGATATTAATACTGGTTTTTATTTTTTAATTTTTATTCTATATGGTATATAATAGTCATTGTGCCACTTATGTACCTTAATGCTACTGAACTAAGAAGAATCACTTTCTTTTTAGGGGGTTAGAAAATAGCACCAGACTAGCTTCCAGAAAGAAGAGGGGCACCTTAGAGAGATAATGTCTTACCATAGTCTTAGATAAGGGAAAAACCCTGCTGATATTCTGGCTTTTATTTTTCTTTCTTGCTATGGAATTAACTCCTGTATGAAATTTCCATATGTGTAGTGTCGTCTCTGTCCAATATATTATTTTAATTAATTAGATACAGAATCTTATTTTGGCCCTACTTTTTAGATCTTCCCCTTGAAGTTGTGTTTATTGGTAATACTTTTTTTTTTTTAACGGATCTCTGAAAGGACAGTCCATTCATCTTCCAGTGTTCTAAGTGTCTAAAGGTCTAAAGAATTTGAGACAGTATGGATGGAAAGGATGGCTGAAGTATCCTTCCATGGGGTTTAAAATTATCTCTACTTTTTGAAGTTTCGAACAAGAGAAGCAGTGGTAGCTGAGTATTAGACTTTGCTGTTACAAAGCTTACAGACCTCGCCTTCTATTCTAGTGTCCGTGTAGTCCTTTGTGAAGAATTTGGGACTGGTTTTGAGCTTAACCTAGCTATAGCCTCTAAGGTGGTATACCTTGAAGGAGTAAATAATATAGTAGAACTAGGCCAAAGAACTGGTCTCTGGCACTAGAATGTCCAAGTTTGATATTTCTCAATTAGCTCGAAATTGTCTTATTTTGTGCTGAGGGCACATGGCTAAAGTGGTAGATCACCTGCCTAGCAAGTGCAAGGCCCTGAGTTCAACCCTAGTACTGTCCCCCCAAAAAAGAAGAAATTGGCTTATTTTGATCTAATTTAATTTTGCGTGTGTATGCTAGACAAGCACTCTGTGAGACAGGGTCTCGCTTAGGCCAGGATGGCCTTCAGTGCATGATCCTTTTGCTTGCATTAGCACACCTGGCTTTTTCCTTTTTTTTAATGAGTAAATAGTATCTACAAAAAAGAGTTCTGTGACTAATCTTAAACTTCTCTTTCCTTTTTACTATTGAATACAGGTTAGTACCCTTTATTTGAAATTTTGGAGCCAGAAGCATCTCACAGTTTGAAGTTTTGAATCCTTGCATTTAGATAGTGAGATATCTTGAGGATAGGACACAAATCTAAACACAGAATGTCTTTGTTCATACCGTATACACGTAGCGTAAAGGTAATTTTGTGTAGTATTTTTAGTGTGTCTACATTTTGTGTATTAGCTATCACATGAGGTCGTGGGGAATTTTCCACTTGTGGAATAATGTCAGTACTGAAAAAAATGCAGATCTTAAGCATTTGGATTTCATATTTTTGGATTAGAAATGCCTATAGGAAATATGTTACCAGAGTACATTTCTTCTGATGAGACTTGGTTGTCAAAGAATACATACTACATATTTAGGCATTCTTAACATTATATATTTTTACTGCTAAAAAGATAAAAACTATTGTCATAGAAACAAAGCAGCCTTCTTTGCTTGTGTGTATTGTCAGTTCTGGCAATTCTTCTGCCTTATTCTTTTACTTACATTCTTGAAAAATATTTAAATCTTTGACATCAATAAGAATTCTCTATCACTTTGCCTTCCTTGTGCTTTGTCATGTGGATTTGCCAGATGGCTGTCTACTTTGATATTCTCACGAGTCTGCCATTTCTCTTACAGGCATAGTCTTTATTTTGTTAGACTCTCCATATCTGCTAAAGATAGCTATGTACATATACATGTCTTCTATTTTATGAATATATCTGAAAATATATGTGTATACAACCATTTATGTATATCCATGGTCCTAAAAGGAAAAAGAGACAATGGAAATAGTTATCCTTCAGAGGGAGCTAAGTACACATAGGAGAAAATAGTGTTTTAATTGGTTTATCACGTAATGTTGTAGCATAGGTATAAACCCCTCAGCTTCAGTGTCCTGGACAAGAATGTTTCCAAAAAGAACCATTGGTAGGCTAGAGACTACTGAATATGTGGAAATGTTTAGTCCCTAAAGGAATGATGTGGATGAGTAAGTTGCCTAACTCAGAGGAATTGACTGTCCCAAGAGAAATTAAAGGTATTAGCCTGTTCTAAAGGCTTTTTAATGGTCAAATTATCATGGTAACAAGTTGTTGTGCATTTTATTTGGTTGCAAGTTGAGAATGATCAGAATAGAATATTCACAATGCTGCTTTGCCTCAAAAGACAAAACAGCAACAACAAAAAAATAGTGTTAGCCAATGTTTTATGAACGTGGGAAATTCTCAGGTTGCATGGGCTGAGAAAGCAAGTTAGCCACAGTTTGCTTTTATTATCAAGTGGTCCCTTGAAATGATGATAAATAATATTTTTAAATGATAGGTATTTTTTTCAAAGCATTAAAACTTAATTTTTTAAAGATAGTTCTTCCTTATTGTAAGGCTATCATTAAAAATTTAGGCTTAAAAATAATACTCCAAAGCTAAGTCCTTCACACAGATTAACACATGTTCTTTTACTGAATTCTTTAATAATGGGTGCCCCAAATTTAAAATCTTAGCTAAGTCTTAACTGTGAAGCACAGAATAGTATATAGACTTACTGATTCTAAAATTTGTTACTTGTAAAGCAGTCAACTGTGAATTTTACACAACAGTGTAAGTAGAGGATCGTATCTAGTAGTGCAGGAATGGCTGGCATTAGAAATGGGTTTATAATTGATCTACCATTGATCCAGCAATACCACTCTTGGGGATATACCCAAAAGACTGTGACACAGGTTACTCCAGAGGCACCTGCACACCCATG